TGGGAGAATCACTTGAACCTGGAAGGTGGAGGCTACAGTGAGCCGAGATTGTGCCACTGCACTCCAGAACAAGCATCCATCTCAAAAAATAAAAAAGTGCAGGATCAGAGAGGGCAAGCACCTAGCCCCAGTCACACAGCAGCAGCTGGTAGGTCGGAGAGTCAAGGCCAGGACCAGCACCTATGGCCTCTCCATGTCATCCTCTTAAATGTCCCACCATGCTCAGTGCTAAGCACAGCCCCAACTAGCTGAGGCTGCCATGGAGACTTACAATAGTCCGTCACGTAGAAATAGGTGGGTTCCGTCCAGGAGCCGTTGCCCGCGAGGGAGGTGGCCCGGACTCGCACGCTGTAGTTCCCCGGCGACAGCCCGCGCAGCCTGCAGCCCCGTTCCAGAGCGAAGTGCTTGCGGGAGACACAGAGATGCAGCTCCTGGAAGGAAGACAGGAGGAGGAGGAGGGTGGCTGAGTTTTGCGCATTTGGGAGTGTCCGCCCCTAGCAGGGAGCTCACAGCCAGGATCCTGCTCAGAAAGGACGCCAAGGCAGCAAAGCACAGACTAAGACACACAAGTGACTTTGAGAATTGCAGAATTTTATAACCACAGTACTAGGGATAAGGATATAGATACAGAGATGATCATGATTGGAAAGGGCCAGACTTCCTAAGCCAGAAGCCGAGCATTAGACCTTGATGGTTTCTTTTCTTTTTTCTTTTTTTTTTTTTTTTTGAGACGGAGTTTCACTCTTGTTGCCCAGGCTGGAGTGCAATGGCGCAATCTCGGCTCGCTGCAACCTATACCTCTTGGGTTCAAGCGATTCTCCTGCCTCAGCCTCCTGAATAGCTGGGATTACAGGCACGCACCACCACGCCCGGCTAATTTTGCATTTTCAGTGGAGTCAGGGTTTTACCATGTTGGCCAGGCTGGTCTCAAACTCCTGACCTCAAGTGATCTGCCCACCTCGGCCTCCCAAAGTGCTGAGCTTACAGGTGTGAGCCACCGCGCCTGGCCCTATTATCTATTTTCTATTAATATTATTTTCTATAATATTATCTTTCTAAACATCATTTGTTTTATTTTTAATTGACAACAGTCGTATAGGTCTGGCACAGTAGCTCATGTCTGTAATCCCAGCCCTAGGGGAGGCCATGATGGGAGGATCACTGGAGCCCAGGAATTAGAGACCACCGTGGGCAACATAGTGAGACCCCATTTCCACAGAAAATAGAACAATTAGCCAGGCACAGTGGTTCGCGCCTGTAGTCCCAGCTACTCAGGAGGCTAAGGTGGGAGAATCACTTGAGCCCAGGAGGTCAAGGGTGCAGTGAGCTATGAAAGCTCCACTGCACTCCAGCCTGGATGACAGGCTAGACCCTGTCTATAAAATAAACAAACAAAAATAAAAATAATAGTGGTATACACGTATGGGGTACAGTGTAAAGTTATGATACAGTATAAATTGTGGAATGATTAAAACAAGCTAATTAAATGCTCATCAGTTCATGTACTTATTTCTTTGTTGTGAGAATATTTAAAATCTATTCTTCTAGCCATTTTGCAATATGTGTTATTAGCTACAGTCACCATTCATGTACAGAGCAATGGATTCCAAGAACGTATTCCTATCTGAAACTTCGCACCCTTTGATTCACATCTCTCTTTATCCTTCCTTTGATTGTTTTTTTCCCTGACCATTTTAAAATGCAAAAGTGGGCAGGGCATGGTGGCTCATGCTTATAATCCCAACACTTTGGGAGGCTGAGGTGGGCAGATCACTTGAGGTCAGGAGTTCGAGACCAGCCTGGTCAAGATGGTGAAACCCTGTCTCTACCCAAAATACAAAAATTAGCTAGACCCGGTGGCGTACACCTGTAATCCTAGTTACTCAGAGGCTGAGACAGGAGAATCACTTGAACCCGGGAGACAGAGGTTGCAGTGAGCCAAGACTGTGCCACTGCACTCCAGTCTGGGCGACAGAGTAAGACTCCGTCTCAAAAATAAATACATAAATAAATAAAATGCAAAAGTGACTCCCAGCTCACAAATCATTACAAATCAGGCAGCAGGCCACATTTAACCTATGGGATATAGTTTACTGACTGACCCCTGGTTTAAGACATTATATGGTTTGTCTGTAGTCTCATAGCTGCAAAGTGGCAGGGCCAGCTCTTGAACTGTCTGGTTCTACAGCTACTCCAGAGGCTGAGGCAGGAGAATGGCGTGAACCCGGGAGGCAGAGCTTGCAGTGAGCTGCAGTGAGCTGAGATTACACCACTGCACTGCGGCCTGGGCGACAGAGCGAGACTCCGTCTCAAAAAAAAAAAAAAAAGAAAAAGAAAAAGAAAAAAGAAAAAAAAAGAGAACTGTCTGGCTTTATAACTTCTCCTTAAGACCATGGCAAAATATTTTTGCCATGTCTCCAGCAAAATTAGAAAAGGGTGGAAATGAAGGATCTGCAGGGTCTATGCCAGATTTCCTGCCTTTCCCTGCAACTCTCGGCCTCTGCCGCATCAGAACCAAATAGATAAATGGGCTTAATGTCTAAGGACAAATAAAAAAGTTCTTTCTTTGCCATGGTGCTGCCTTTCGTTTTTTTTTTTTTTTTTTTTTAAATTCATTAGGCCAGGCACGGTGTGGCTCATGCCTGTAATCCCAGCACTTTGGGAGGTCGAGGAGGGCAGATGACGAGGTCAAGAGATCGAGACCATCCTTGCCAACATAGTGAAACCCCGTCTCTACTAAAAATACAAAAATTAGCTGGACGTGGTGGCGGGTGCCTGTAATCCCAGCTACTCGGGAGGCTGAGGCAGGAGATTCACTTGAACCCGGGAGGCGGAGTTTGCAGTGAGTTGAGATCGCGACACTGCACTCCAGCCTGGGCGACAGAGCGAGATTGTCTGAAAAAGAAAAAGAAAATGTGGTACACTTCACCTCAAAATAAAATAAAATAAGTCAATAAATAAATAAATAAAACAGTGGGGATAAAACAGTTGGGATCCACCCAAATGGAGATTCGCAAAGTGCGAAACATACCTTGGGATAAGCATGTAACTAGAGATAAACCGAGAACTTCCGAGAAGAGACAGGAGGCTCTAGGGAATAAGACCATGAAACCTGCAAGCGTCGAGCCAAAACTCTGAAAAGTTTTCGAAACAGTTCCAAGCTCATAGTGCATGCAGAGAACCGGGTTGGAACATTTAGGAGGGGGGTGGAGAGTGGAGAAGAGAAATAAATGTTTAAAAAAAAAAAAAAAAAAAAGCCAACAACCCCGTGTTTATCATGTGACAGTAACAGCAAGAAAACAAATCAGTCCGATGGCAGGGGTGGGGGCGGGGAACTCTAGTCCAAAGTTTCTTCCAAGTGGAATGAGTCACCAAGTAGAGAGGGACGAATAAGCAAATATAGAAACCCAAGGTAGCTGCTATCCAGGACAAAGGGGAAATGCATCTTCTTTTTTTTTTTTTTTTTTTTTTGAGACGGAGTTTCGCTCTCGTCGCCCAGGCTGGAGTACAGTGGCGAGATCTTGGCATCTTGGCTCACTGCAACCTCCGCCTCCTGGGTTCAAGCGATTCTCCTGCCTCAGCCTCCTGAGTAACTGGGATGACAGGCGCGTGCCACAGCATGACTCTGTCTCTAAAAAAAAATTTTTGAAGGGAGATACTGAAAAAAAAATGCAATTAAATAGCTAGAGGTGGCTTTGTTTATGAAACTAACAAAAGAAAAAACAATATAACACTCACTGGCCGGGCGCAGTGGCTCACACCTGTAATCCCAGCACTTTGGGAGGCCAAGGTGGGTGGATCACGAGGTCAGGAGTTCGAGACCAGCCTGACCAACATGGTGAAACCCCATCTCTACTAAAAGACAAAAATTAGCCGGGTGTGATGGTGGGCTCCTGTAGTCCCAGATACTCAGGAGGCTGAGGCAGGAGAATCACTCGAACCCAGGAAGCGGAGGTTGCAGTGAACTGAGATTGCACCAATGCACTGTAGCCTGGGTTATAGAGAGAGACTCTGTCTAAAAAAAAAAAACAAAGAAATGCCCAACTCTTTCCTAAAGCAGCTGTGCCATTTTACGTTCCCACCAGCAACGTATGAGGGTTCTGATTTCTCATCCTCACCAACACTAATTACTATCCATCTTTTTGTTTTTTGCCATGCTCGTGGGCACGAAGTGGTATCGCATTGTGCTCTTGATTTGCATTTTTGTCACGGCTAATTTGGGGCTGAGTTTTGTGTTCTGTCCTGGTACCAGGGTGGGGTTGAAGGTGGGAGGTGAGAGCCACTCAAGGGAGACGAGCAGCTTCCAAAGGCAGTTCAGGGCATTGTTGACAGCAAGGATACAGATTCTGCAGAGTGAACAATGCCTGTTTCCACCGCAGATCCTCTTTGATTTTTTTTCTGCTTCTGTGTCCAACTTGTCCCTGTTCACCCAGAACTTTCTGTGTGTGGACACTGAAAATCTCACATCCCAGGGAGCCCTCAGTCCTGGCTAAACCTAGACAACTGGCCACCCTGTCCGCATTGGATTTAACTCGAATCCTAACTTCTCCTAGCTTTTTCCCATGCCTTTGACTGGCCTGTGTCTCCTGTTCCTGGGACCCAAGGGTCACTATTAGAAATTCCCACCACGAATCCCCAACAGCCTCTGCCCCACACAGCACAACCCCAATCCCACCCAGTCCAACTCTGTTCACCCTAGAGAGAAGCAGAGAAGGGGGAGAAAATGAAAGGAGAATGTGAGGTTACAGTCACCTTCTTAAGAACCTTTTCATAGACACATTTCTGTTATTGCCAACAATTTCCTTAATTACCTAGCATTGCTTTGATCAAGAAAAAAAAGTGATGTACAATTTTATTTATTTACATATATAGAGAGAGATGGAGTCTCACTCTGTCACCCAGGCTGGAGTGCAGTGGTGTGATCTTGGATCACTGCAATCTCTGCCTCCTGGGTTCAAGCGATTCTCCTGTCTTAGCCTCCCGAGTAGTTGGGATTACAGGCGCACACCACCACGCCCAGCTAATTTTTGTATTTTTAGTAGACACAAGGTTTCACCATGTTGGCCAGGCTGGTCTTGAACCCTGACCTCAGGTGATCCGCCCTCCCGAGGTGCTAGGATTACAGGCGTGAGCCACTGCTGCCAGCCTAAAACTTTATTTTTATGTACACAATTTATATTGTTGGAGTATAATTTTACTACATTTACAAAATTCTCTCTAGCATGTGGTGGGAGTGAAATTATGTTATGTAAGTTACATCTCAATAAAGCTGTTTCTAAATTAAAAAAAAAAAAAAATCCCTCATGCCCAAGCCAATCAGCATACAGCATTCCTCTGGTCACATGATTGGGCACTGGGTGTCACATGACCTCAGTCTAGCTGGGAATGCTGGGATGCACTCTGTCTTCCTCTGGGTTTGGCACTGCAAAGAAATAAGGTTTGGAACCACTACAACCACAGGTGGACAGCCAGGGGCTACTGGGCTCACTGCCAGGAGCCTTAAGATGCAACTGACCCAGGCCAGGCATGGTGGCTCACACCTGTAATCCCAGCACTTTGGGATGCCAAGGTGGATTACCTGAGGACAGGAGTTCGAGACCAACCAGGCCAACATGGTGAAACCCCGTCTCCATTAAAAATACAAAAATTAGCTGGGTGTGGTGGTGGGTGCCTGTAATCGCAGCTACTTAGGAGGCTGAGGCAGAAAAATCGCTTAAACCCGGGAGGCGGAGGTTGCAGTGAGCTGAGATTGCACCACTGCACTCCAGCCTGGATGACAGAGTGAATGAGGCTCCATCTCAAAAAAAAAAAAAAAAAAAAAAAAACAAAAGATGTAACCGACCCAAAGGAATCCTGGATCCAGCCATTCCTGAAGCTCCTCAGTTGTTCAGCTCTGGGAGCTAATAAGCTTTTCCTCTATCATAAGTTAAGTTTGGATACAGGGGGATTCTTAACTGCTGGGGGATAACACAAAGGAACTAAATTCCAGAGTGTGTAATTTTAACTTCTATATTACACTGAACAAACGTCATCCCAAACATTTTATCTTAGTTTTTTGGAGACAGAGTCTTCTTGCTCTGTCACCCAGTCTGGAGTGTAGTGACTGAGTCATAGCCCACTATAACCTGGAGCTCCTGAGCTCAAGCAATTCTCTCCTCAGCCTCCCAAGCAGATGGAACTATAGGCACAGACCACCACACCTAGCTAATTTTGAAAATTTTTTTGCAGAGATGGGGTCTGGCTATGTTGCCCAGGCTCAAACTCCTGGCCTCAAAGCCATCCTCCCACCTCAGCTTCCTGAGTCACTGGAATTATAGGCACGAGCCACCATGCTTGGCCACCAAACATCGTTTTAAATGGCTCTTCATCCACCAATTCTATGGCTGCCCCATCTTCCATGTGTCCATTCTCCAATGGATGGATGTCTAGTGGTTTGCATATTTTGCTACTGATGAAAATCTTGTGCATAGAGCTTTGTTCCCTGCCCCAAATTTGAATGATTTCCTTAGGACCTACAGGATTAATACATATAGAATAATATATTAATAAATTTTGCAATTATGACCCCCAGGGAATCATGACTTTCTATGTCTATGAGACTCTGGGAGCCTCAGTATCCAGCTCACTGAGATACTCAGAGGATGCATTGCACTTCCTTATTCTGGGCTTAGCCACGGGCTCACTTTGCCAAAGGGACACTAGCAAATGTGATGTGAACAGAGACCTGAGAAGTGTTTGTATATGGAGCATGTCCTTCCTTGCCTGGGCTAGCTCGCTGGACAGTGAGAGAACACATGGGGGGAAAAGCTCCAAGTGTCCCCGGCTGAGGCCCCAGTCACATGAATGAGGCCATCCAGCTCCAGCCAAACTGGCCACGACAAAGGAATCACCCAGTGAACCTGCAGAATTGAGAGAAAGAATAAATGTCTTTTTTTTTTTTTTTTTGCCTGAAACAGAGTCTCTGTCGCCCAGGCTGGAGTGCAGTGG